TTGCTAGTTCAAGGGTGCCAAAATCAAAAACTTAGGCCTGAAAAATGATTTAAGGGAAAAACAAGACCTAGAAACAGGTAAAAAGGTTTGAATTACAACTCTTTACTTTCTGGCTTTTTACTTATTTAGATCTTGTACGGTATGTGTGGGTCTCATTTTTCTGCATTTCTGTAATACTAAGGAGGTTTATGTATTTTAATGAGAGTTGATATTATTATGTAATCATATACCAGGGCTTTAGTTAAATCACCAAATAGGTGTGAAGTACTGCATTTAGAGAGGTCAGACCTAAAGATGCTGATTTTTAAATGCCTTTTTTCTACTTTGGCATGGTATCTTAGATATTCAGTTGAGACAGTCCCTTAAACCATTCCTTGCTCTTCTGCAGGTGTCGTTGCATTAGTGAACATCTGGTTTACATTTAGAATTTGGTTTTAAAACCAAAGGGCTAGATCCTTCATAATGTTTATAGTGATTTCCTGAGTTTTAGAACACAGACTACCACTCTACGTGTTCAGAGCAAGCTAGCCACTTCTCTTCTTCACTTCTCTTTTTTCTCTGTGACTGTGATTTTGGTATTAGGGTCTTCTTTATTCCTGCCTCCTCTTCCATTTATAGGCTTCACACTTAGCTGGTCTGGGGGAGTATGTTTTCCCTGCAGACCTTTTAGTCAATTAGTGGGGTAGAGCAAGCCAGTTGGCTTCAGCAAAGCTCGTGGTTTTGTGTGTCCATGATGCAAGAGTTGTTCCTGTTGCTGAAAGCTGTCTTCATCTTTAACTGTTAAAACTGTCAGAGCAATGTTTCCAGGACAGTTTAGATCAAATGTAAAGTAGATACTTTCCTTCTGAGAGAGACTGCATGCACATAAGCCATGTGGGAGTTTGATTTTGGTTTTATGTCTCCTTTTTTGCTGCTAGTATGCCTGCTCAGTAAGAATGATAAAAAAAAAAAAAAAAAAAAAGGAATTGGATGGTGTGAGGCTGTTTACCATCATACTGGATCAAATCAATTCATAGTAATTTTTAGAGGAGGTAGTAGGGTCTGGAACAGACCCTTCTGTTAGCAATAAACATATATCCCTCTACTTCTAAATGCATTTTTATGTCTTTAGCTTTACTTTCATGCATGTACCAGTGAAGCAATATATATTTGATACGTTTTTCTGGTTCCAGAAGATTGACTCAGACTCAGGTGGATTTATGCACACTGTCTATGTTTGAGTGTTTATGGTTGGTTTGGTTTTGGTTTTTTATTGGTTTTGTTTGTTTGTTCGGGATTTTTCATGTACTGTTTTCTTCATCTTTTGATTTCTGTAAAGCTTGTGGAAATTGTGGTTTTCAAGTACCCTGATAGGTCAGATACACCTTTGTATGGTGATTGCTTTCCAATCCTTTTCTGCCTATCATACTCCAGCACTTACTGTTTGTCTATTCAAAGGAAAGCTTTCCTAGGTTCAGATGTAATCTAGCACAGCATGGCTTCTTGAGCTAAAGGATGTCATACTGAGGCAGTTGTCCCTCTGTAGGATGTTGGCCTGGCAAATATTTTTTTTTACAACTGCTCTACCTGTTTATTTGTTTTGTTTTCTATCTTCTGTCTTAAAGCTTGAGAACATTGTGTGTGATATACTTATTTAAGTTTTTTCCTCCTTCACTCCTTTGTTACTATGGATCATTGCAGGTATGCAAGAACATTCTAGCATGAGATGAAAACTGTTTTCTAGATTGTGAGGTAGAAATACATTTTAAAGTCAAGTAAGGTTTGTTAAGTTTTAAAAATTGGAGGAAGAGGTTGGCTTCATAGGGTAATGCATTTTACTACCATGCTTTAAAACTGTTTAGAATTGCAAGGTCTCTTACCATCCTAGAACTCCTACTTTGCTTCTTTGTGCTTACCATTTTACCAGGTGGTAAGCACAGAATTAACCCAGTAGAGCATTCTGGTACGTGGCATACAAAGAGTTAACAATAGGGTTGAAATTCTTTTACACTAGTGGCAATGGATCCATTAGCAAAATCTAAATGCTTGTGGTTCTGCAAAGGCACATTTCTAGAGAATCAAATGAAATGTGGCTGTGTAATTTGCTATTAGCATTTTGCTAATAAAGTGGTGCCAGAATAAGGAAGGGGTCACTTCATTGATTCCAATGCATTCATAACTGATTGCTTCATTGGTGACTTCGGCCTCTCTTCAGTCAGTGATTTTTGATAGTTAGATGCTGAGAAACAGATCAAGGCTGAGTCATTATAGCCTTTAGCTGTTAATGTTAGCTTCTGCTGCAGCATCCAATCTGTGTGGAGCACCCCAGGATCACCCAGGAGCAGAGCCAGAGATGGGGGACCTGGGCCAAAAGGCATCTGCAAGCCGTGGAGGACATGCAGCGGAATAGGGAAAGGGTTGATTGTGGGGCTGGGGAAGCACAGGAGAGTTCCAAGGGCTGAAAAACTCTGTGTGGAGATGTGAAGCACTAGGCAGTACCTAGGGAACAGTGTGGGTAATCTGTGTCTGAAGAAGAATGAATGTTTAAAAGGACTTGATTTGGGCTTGAGGATTGGTGGTGATCATGGGTAGAAACCCCTGGCACATATCAGTCTGTTTTCCTGGGTCTGGCTGGACTGGGAACATTCCTACATTTGGTGTACTCCCACTAATGGGAATGATAACTTAATTACATTGCTCATTTTTGGTGGCAATAGTAAAGCAATCCTTCACTTTTCTGTAAATTGTGGATATGGTGAGGGTAGGAGCATGAAAAACCTGGCAGTGGGATTTCATGCTACACTTGGTTTTAAGCATGTGTTACACACTACCAAATGTTTATAGAGCCTGGAGACCCACAGTAACCACAGCCAGGCCTGTAACATTAATCCTTTTTTCTGTGAAATAACAGGCATATTATTTGTGCTAATTTCACTGATGGTAAGTTGCAGGTAAAGATATCCTTATCATGCTGGGAATCGCAGGTGGTCAGGATCATGCTAAATTCATTTTTCTTTAACCAAGTAAATTAAGAAAGTGAGCACCAGCACCACTACCCCACAAAACAGAGAGTCTTGAGGAGTTAAAATTGAAAAGATTTGTTTGGTCTAGAGTGGCAGGAGCCAGGGAGGAAGAACAGGTATGAGGGTTTTGGCAGAGGTTTTGTGAAGCACATAACTTTTGGTAGATCCATCTCTTGGTAGCTTTTGCATGCTGGTTATTCACTGAGAGGCCAGCTTTCATAAACATCAAAGCTCAGTTTCATACAGTAATGAGCAAACATAACAGTATGGAGAAACAAACAGGAACCTGGCACAGCCAGTGTTTTCACCAACAGTATATGGAAAAAGGAAATGCTTAATACATTAATGCTTAATACAATAAAACGAGGGGTCAGTTCTGAGGTTGTATCAGGTGAAAAAATTGTGTGACATTTTGATTTTTGATGACTATCTGCATGTGTACGTTGTCTCCCGAAATGGGGTAGGTAATTGTAAGTAATAACTTAAAGAAATGAAGGGGCCCTTGGAGAAGGAAAGACTAAGTAGGAACAGTTGATGGAGAAGATAACAATTTCATAGGAGATGTATGTGGTTTTCCTCATGTTTCAAAGTAGTTTTAATCTCTTGTTCTGAGATGAGTGTTTTGAAAGCATACATTGTAAATCTCATTGCCTACCTCTGACATAAGTCAAGGCATTTCCTTTGGGAAGGAATGTTGGGAAAAAAAAGCATGAAAGAGTTTGTGACTATCAATCATTACATGTCACATTAACCCTCGTATCTTTCATTCATGTGTTTTTATATTTGCATTGAGCTATGCTCATATAAGTAAGAAATAGCATTAGCAAGAAGAGATCCCTGAGTAACTGTAAAAAAAAAAAAAGCCAGCTCCCAGGCTGGAACACATGCTGGCCAACTGCTCAGAGACAGGATTAGCAGCAGCAGCTTCCCTGTATGCTTCACAGCTTGAGCTCCACCGGAGCTGTGCCTAGGCACTCCCTGGTGCTTTCCAGGGGCTTTTAGGCAGGTGTGAGAATAGCTTTGCTTTATTGTCAGCAGTTCACATTTGCCCTTAATCTTCAAATACATAAAGCAGTAATAAAGCCTCTTGGTAATTCTCGCTCCTCTTTTTTTTGTCCCCCGCTGTGACACACGTGGGCAGAGCTGCTGCCTGAAAATTGTATGCTGCTTGCAGAAAGAGAGTGAGTGCCTGTGTTAGCGTACAGTTATTGAAGTACAGTAGAAAAAAGATGGGAGGAGACTATTTTTTCTGTAGTCCATCTGCACCATGCAGTGTCTGACTGCTTGTCTCACAACACAGTCTGCTGTAGGGTTGCAGAGAGGATTTGAGAGCTGAATTTGGGCTGTAATGAATGCTTACCTTCTCTTGAACTTGAGGTGCTACATCCCATCACAAATCTTAATTTCCACAAGAACCCATAATCTCTAAACTCTCTCTTTGCTTTCCTCTGCTATATCATGACCCCAACCTGTTTTCCTTTAGAAGATGTACCTCTACTTTTTTATTACATTGAGAATAAATCAGTGTTGAGACAGAATTAAAGCTGTCACTAACTTTCATGGGCTATGAAGCATACAATGCATTTTAATCAAATGTCTCCTGCTTTTGCTAATCTCCTTGTTGATATATCTGCTGTCCTTTTGCCAGATCAGTATTAAATGTTGGCTAAAGCTGAGTCTATGGCAGTGGGAATTTTATTGGCATGAGCAGTGTTGTGATGTTAGATGTGTTTTGGCTCTGAATGCAAAGGTATGAAGTTGTAATAACTCCTAAATCTCCTCACCCTCATTATGAAGCTAAAAGATGAGTGAAATAAATTGTAGAAGCAGATCTATGTTTTTTGGTGGTGGTGGTAGTGTTGCTTTTTGTTGGGTTTTTTTGTTTGTTCGGTTGTTTTTTTAAGAAAGCATGTAATGGGTATAAAAGTATCAGTGTTTCAATTAAAGCTAGTGAGTGCAATTTCCCACTTACCTGTGCTTTTATTTGTTTTTCAGCTCATGGGGCATTCTGAATGGGATCACAAACGAGGACCCAGAGGCTCACAGGTCAGTTTCTAACTATTTTGTGGTTGGTTTTGGCTTTTTGTAAGCTTGAGGTATTCAAGCAAGTTTTCCATCTGAGCATGTCCAAGTTGTTCATTTTATTAATATTTGCAGGATTGAATCAATGGAAAGAAGCATAAAACCATGACAGCATTTATTAATACAATTTTTGAGCTGTAATCCAAACAGTTGATCCAGACAGAGCTGAGTCATGCAACAGAAAATTTCTTTCAGTAGTAGAAAGATGGAATTGATGTACTGAGAAAACATTTCTTATTCAGTTTTCTCCATTGTGGTATCAGAGGAATGCAATTTCAAATAATGCCTGTATGTCTTGTGGTGTTTTCTTTTTAAACCTGATAAACTTGTAAAACTTGGATGGCCCTCTTACCTTGTTCAATAATAAAGGGATTAATGGTGTGATAACTGTGTGGGAAGGTGCAGGAAAGCCCTATGTAGCTACTGGTTTGCTCTTGACATGTCATTGAAGGGAAGGTATGTGTGTAATGTTAATGGCATCACTCTGCTACATTTTCAGGTTATCTATAGAATTACAATGGCTGCAAAGGGGACATTGTTACCAATATTGATGTTCAGGGATTTTCCTGCTTGGGTAAAGCAGCCTTTCCCATCTGGTGTTGAAATCATGTAGATACTTTATTAGGATACATTATCAGTTTTTTTGGAATTGTTTTTCCATCCAGTGAAGGATTTTTAGATTAATAGGAATATCTCTGTCTAAATCTATAATAATCAGGCTCTGCTGCTGTGGAGCAAAATGCTTGCAATCTTTATCTCAGTAGGGTAGTTCCTAGCCTAACCTTGCAAAAATCACTGGAATACCTGCCTTTTAATGAGAAAATATAATATGATAATCAGAAAGATACTATTTATTTTAATGGACAAGTTTTATTGGTTTTAATAAAAAAATTAATTTACTAAATTTTGGGGGTTTTCCCTTGTTCTTGTGGAGTTCTGTATTTTTTTCTGATGTTTTCTAAGCTTCTATCTTGTGTCTCATTTCAAAACCATCTTGAAATTTGAAGGAAATTCAGTATTTAATTAAAAACAGTTTAAGATGGGATGCAGACTTGATTTTTTCAGGTCACTGTCGTTTCAAAAAGATGAAAAAGCAGAAAGCAAGCTGTTTTTCAGTGGAAGCTGAGGAATTTCAGAACTCAGGGAAGTCCCATCCAGTGAGGTGGGACCTGTTCAGTATGTAATCTCTCCTGCCTCATCTGGTGTGCTACTTGATCATGTTTTCTGGTACAAAGAGCAGAAGGTAAATTGGACTCTTCTAAACTACTGTTGAGAGGAAGGCAGTCACTTGAAGGACTCTTCTTAAGGTGTCTTAGGCATCCTAAGCTTTTCTGCCATTATTGCAAATCTTCATCTGTTTTTTGTATGCATAAGAAAATACAGGTAGTCTTTTTTATTCTCTAAACCATGCCCTGCAGTCCTAATATTTTCCCTATGACCACAAAATATTTAGAGACTGCTGACTGGAGTGCATATGAAGTCTGCACTGGTGTTGCATTAGGGATGGAGGTCTAAGTCCTGTCTTAAGTAGTCATCCCTGATACATCCAGCTGGCTGTGTGTTTGAAGGATTTTTTGTTGTCATCTAGACATTTTGGAAAGTTTACAGCTAGCCAGAAAGAAAAGTTAGAGCAGGGGATTTAGATGGAAGGTAAGTGGTATCAATCTTGCCCAAACAGATTTTCAATTAAGACAGGTCAGGTTGACTATCAAAAATGTATCTTGCTGCAGGAAATTGATCTTGGGCTGTTTAATAGATCCCTTTTTAAGTTTTCAGAAAAAGTGAAGTCACAGGATGAAATAGTTGCCAAAGAATTTTTCAATTATTTGTTCTGATGAGGCTACGGTTTCTTCCAAGGAGGGCTCCAGAGAAATTAATCTGCTGCCTGGTTTCTCTCTTTCTCCCCTTCCTGAGAATAAGAAGGGCTTGCATGGCATGGCCTGATTTCAAAGGAAGAAGTCTCATGGGCACTAACTCAGTTACCACAAATGCCCATCTATATGGGATGCAAGTAAACCATTTGTTGGGTATTGCTAGGGAAGGCTGTACTTGGCAAAATGAGGTAAATGGTTAGTTAACATATAGAAGAATGTCTCTGGGTTTCAGTAGAGGCAGAGGAGATAACTGTAAGAAGATAACTAATATAAATTTAAAAGTTTTCTCTGTCTTTCTGAGAATGGTTTTGTTCCTTCCTTGTGTATTGTTTTTATACTCTCCCACCATTTCATATTTAAATTAAAAAAGGAGAAGAGAAATTCAGTTGAATTCTCTCAAGGTCATCCTGCATTTATTTGAACCTTTCCTGAAGGATATTGTTGAATTATTAAAAACTTTACTCTAAAAAACTTTGTATTGGGTTTTAATGTAGAAAACTCATGCTAATAATTTTTTTACTTAGGCAGAGTGTCTTTTAATTAATTTTTTTTTTGACAAAATAAGCAAAAAAACCCCACACCCCTGAGAAGCGCATTCCTTCAAAACAGGATAAAATCTACATATGTAGGATTTCTAGAGCAGTGAGGTGTTTCTAAATCCGTCTAAAAAGAAGTACATAGTTTTAATCAATTTAATCCCGTAAACACTTTTTTCTATTTCATTTGTTCTGTGTATAGGTGTTCTGCAGAGCTTCTAGAAAGCTAATTGTTATACATTTTGGAAGAACCTTGTAAAACTGACAAAGAATATGTACCACAGAAATGTTAAAGAATCTTGAATAGGGTGGGAAAAGAAAATGACCAAAGTTCTCTAGATGCCGTGTGGTATCCTAGTGCCCAATTACAAGAAGCAAGAAAAACTAGTTGTTAGAGGGAAGAAAACAAGGCTCAGTTCTTCCACTGTAGCCTCAGAGTCTATCTTTTACATGGCTCTGAAAACTGTTTCACTAGTTCCTTGAAAGTTTAGGAGAAATTTAGAAGGCTCCTTCCGATTTTTGCTTGTAATGTAAAAGAGCTGTTTCATCCTTTTGTGATTCAGTTACATTGTTGCAAATTTGTGTCCTTAATAAATGTGCCTTTTGTTAAACAAGATCTTGCTTTAAAAATAAAATTAGCAATCTGTGTATTTCTCCTTTAAATCTAATATATCAGATGTTTAAAATGGGCTGGCAGTTGCCTGCCAGATCTGCCACAGAATTGATTGTGCCATTTCCCAAGGTATGTGAGGATTTGTTCCAGCAGAGAAATGGGACCTGGGAGGAGAGGTCTCTCCTGGCCAGTGGTAGCTGTGCTGCTCAGGCAAACAGCAAGAGGGAAGGAAGGGGTTTAGGCTTATATTATTGGGAGCCAATTTATTAGTCTTCCATGATCTTTTAATTGTTACTGAGTAAAGTGAAGAAAATGAGAGGGTAGATCTTCGGAAGCCGCCTGCATGTGTGACTGTTTGCAATGTCACTTGTAAGAAAATGAAGTGGAACCACTGGTTTACCTTAACATAAAACCTGCATTTAAACTGCTAAAATTATTCTACCAAGACTCAATAAACAAAACTGTAATTCTTTTAAGATTTTTTTAACAACTTGTAGCTTTCTGTGTTATGTTTTGAAACATGAAATGGAACTGCTGCAGGGCATGTCATACTTCTTAATGATTTGCTTGAAAAATATGTTCCTTTTCTGCATGTGAGAGTCACAAAGTGATGTAGTTACAGGTAGTGATGGATGTCAAATGAATTACACTGAGGCTTATGGAAATTTCGGTTTACAGGAGTTTGTGTCCTGCTAAGCATCTGTAATTCAGTAGAATTTAAATGGGACAAGTAGAAAGCTGTCATCACAATATTTAACTTACTCCTGACTTCCATGTCAACACCACATTGTTTTTTATTGATAATACACATACATATTTTTATGTGCGTGTGTATGTTGTATGATTCCTTTTCTTTTAGAATAATTGTACTATCAAGGCTGTTGTAATTAGAGTGAATTATAGGTTTCCTTAGAGCAATGAGCTCCTGGCTACCGACTTTTTTTTTTCCCTTCCTTTTTTTGAGCTCTGAAGATAACACTTCCTGCTGTAACTGCTTCATGCAGAGAACTTACTCTTTGAATTTGAAATAATGCAAAAAAATGCAAACTGAATTGATTTATGTTTCATGCTTATTTTTAGAAATTAATACAGGTTAGGATTTAGGCACAAAACTTTGAAATTGGGTCCCAAGTTAAAGAAATTCCTACATGTTTAGGAATGTTTAACCTACCTAAAGAAATATCTCGCTCAAATGTACACATGCAGTCTGTAAAGCCACATCATCTCCATGACGTGAGGGGAAAATATTCATACTCATTTCTAGTATCAGTATATGCTACAAGAAAATGTGGCTAACAGAATTCATCCTTTGCATATTATCCCTCTGTAGAAAAAATATGCAAGCTGTATTTTTATTATTTTACTATAACATAATACTTGCTATTTCTACAATATATCAGGTGGAACCTATGGCATGCTTTGTGCACACGTTTTTACTAGGGACCTTGCATGTGTGGGAGTTGTTTGTTACTCTGTCATCTAGTGTTGTTTGGCTTGCTGAAGATGTAGGCGTAGCCTCAGGAGTCAATGCAGTCGAGCAATGTTTCCTCCAGCATTATAAAAGGATTATAACTGGGAGAGAAACACAGAGGTCCAGTGTTTTTTAATTCCCTTTTAAGAAGTAAAAGTTCTTCGTTATATTTTTGAGGTGCTGCATTTTACCCCTCCCGTTCCTAAGCAACAGCTAGTCTCAGATTGAGTGCGTCTGGTGTTTTCTATCTACTTCTTGCTTTTGTGAGGTAATTCGTCAGTGAAAGCTGGGCTTTTCACTGTCTCACCCGATTCCCTTTGTCATGGCACTGTAAGGAGACGGATATTTTAGAGAAACGGGAGAAGCTTTGGTGAAACTGATCTCAACCTTGCAGCCTGCAAAAAGTTACATACATCGGGGAGCTCTGCCGTCTACAGCAATGAAGCACAGGAGTCAGAAATAAGGTTCTT